TTTAATTATAAAAAGTAGTTTTTATAAAAGAAAAATAACTTTTATAAAAAAAAAATAACTTTTATAAAAGAAAAATAACTTTTATAAAGAAAAAATAATTTTTATAAAAAAAAAATAACTTTTATTTTTTTTCTTTTCTTTATATATATATACTATATAATAGGGATTTATAGGTAATAGGGCGCTAATATAGGTATAAGTATATCTATAAAATATAGAAAATAGGCCTTTTAGAATTTTAATAGAATTATTCACTTCGTCGCCCGTAGTTAGCGTCTTCTGCTTATCAGCCAAGCGAGACAGCATGGTATTCACCAACATTTTTAGTGGTTCTAATGTCATCACGAGCAAACCCTTAGATGCCTCTCTCAAGACTAGCAAACAGCTTCGCAGGATATCTCATATGCATCGCTTAGTTTCTCAGCATTTACTATGGAAATGTATGGGAGGCCTAGAAGTTCCCTTTCCTCTCGCAACTTCTCTTCTCCGAGAACTCGACCGCGGCAGAGTATGTTACACACAACCAATCGAGCATACTACTCGACGAAAACATTTTCGTCCCCTCTGCGATTGCAGACCAAGGTGTATCCCTTATTTTGCCAGCACATATGCAATATTTCTCTTCACGACGAACATGGCCGTTACAGCGACCATCGTTCACCTCCTGATATGGAATTGGGATGACATCAAAAAAGGATACGCGCTTCTATCACCGAGTTCTATCCGAGGCGCTTTTCCCCTACGGCCGTGGAAATTGGCGGTGGTTTCTGGAAGACAGCCTACAAACAATGAGAAAGACCATCACTACCTTAAAATACTTGCGTACCAGGAATGTCCAGGCTGGTGGTACATGCTAGTTCTTGCTAAATCCATAGTGATGGGCTTCATTGGCATCTACATTGCCAAGTCAACTTTGCCCTGGTACAGGTTCCTCACAAGCATTGAGGTAGTCAACTTGCAAATCACACTTACTTTATCAGCTGAGCGCTAAGCCGTCCGCAATGCCCCTGCTACCCGGCACCGTAATGATGCCTCAGGTTAGGAATGGCAACTTAAGTAGCTCCCTTGCAAACAATAGTTGCTAGCCACTATCTCTAGTTTCTCAGCATTTCTCACAACATCTTTGCAAAGCATTTCAAATATAGATTCCGCCATTGAAATATGCCAATGGCACAAGCAGGGGTACTTGCCTTCAACATTGGGGCATTCGTCTCCACCCTGTTCTTACTCGAGTTCGGAGCCGACAAGTTTATTGCGCACACGTCGACTCTCGCGAGACGTATTAACATCTCAGAGGTCATTGTTGGACTTCTCACCGCGGGCGCGGAATGGGAAGAGGTTTGTGCTACTACGATTCTTGGCTTGTCGTGATATTGTGCCAAGGTGACTGACTGACTTAGCTGGCGGTCGTAGTCGGAGCTCTCGCACAAGGCCGATCGTCCTTGGCGCTGGGCAATGTCGTTGGCGCATCGATATCTAACATTCTGGGCGCCTTTTCTCTCGGGCTTCTGATGCATAGCGGAGAAGAGGTCGTCGAGTTTGACAGAAGCGCGCGGATCTACTCTCTCCTGCTCCTTGTCCTGACAACCGTAGTAGCGCCCGTCATCTATTACTCGACGAATATTACCTGGTTTGCGGGCGGCATCGTTCTCATCGCTGCGTTTGTCGTCTACTTCCTGCTTGTGGCGGTGGCCATTGGTCGAGGACTCCTCATAGCGCCGGAAGATTCGGATTCGGATTCCGATAGCGACGACGACGGCGACGAAGTTGCTTCGGTGTCGAGTAGGACTGCGCTACTCCGAGAAAACCCCTCTGCAGCCGGAAGCCGCCGACGCCGACATGGTCTTGGCTACCATGGGCTTTACCTCTTGTTCGGGTTCCTCGCAATCTGCCTCGCAGGTTACGTTCTGTCTCAAGCCGCAACCAACATCATAGACGAGCTGGGCATGTCGGATGTTCTCTTTAGCGTGGTCATCCTTGCCATAGCCACCACTCTGCCCGAGAAATTCATCGCCGTCATGAGTGGCTTCCGCGGACATGCGGGTATACTAGTGGCAAACTGCGCCGGTAGCAACATATTTCTCTTGTCGCTCTGTTGCGGCATCATCATGGTCGGCACCGGAGGCGCCTTGGACAAAGGAACCGTGACAGTTACAGAGCTGGTCACTCTGTGGCTCTCGACGGCGGCGTTCACAGTTACTGTCTGGTTTGGGGCCAGGTATGCTCGCTGGGTTGGCGGTGCCATGCTTGTCTGCTACATCGTGTTCATTGTCTTAGAGTTTACTATAATACACTCGACGTAGGCTTGGTCGGACGTGTACTAGTAATTGACAACCCTCTTCAATACTAAGCAGCTCCTAAGAATACTAAGGCACTTTTCAACTCAATTATAACGATATTTTAGCCCCTGAAGCATCTAGTAACCTACATTCAGAATCCTAAAGTATAAACTATCTATAGAGATAATAAAATAGATAACCCTTTAGGTCTAATAATAGAATACTATATATATATATATATTATTAATTTATATATATAAGTAAGTGTCTTCTAGGGTCACTACTTATAAAAGAGTAAGAAAAAATAATAACTCCTTATTTAAAGGAGTGAGATGGGCAAAAAAGAATTCGTCACCTGCAGGATTCGAACCTACGCACGCGAACGTAATGCCTTACTAGTGGGGCTGTTAGTATTGAATGGCTGTTGGAAGATCGGTGAGTACATACGCAGGGCACCGCCTTAACCACTCGGCCAAAGTGACTTGGTTGTAAATGGCGGTTTTATCTGCTACTATACGTTAAAGCCAAAAATCACATTACAGTCGCCTGTCATTTTCCAGTTAACGAACTATATTTAGTTGCTTCCAGCCTGCCAGAGAACCACGATCGAGAACGAGACGGGATCTAGAGTTTTCGCCCGGCTATGGCCGTACATACCAATAAATGCATATCATTATATTTATAAGCAACCCTGTGTACGCAAGTGCTCCAGACTCAATTGTGATCGACAGACTGAGGATATGAAAACAACCTGGCCAGCAGATGAGGACGATAAATAGCTTAGCTTGTATGCGCACTATAGATAACCAACAGCGAACCGCGTTCATCCTAAACGTAATGACATTTAATTGAGAAATTGAAGATATAATATTCGCTTCCATAACGCGCAATTCGATACAAATAAAAAAGATACGCTACGCATTAAACGATGTGAATCGACTGCAGTTGGATGACAAAAGGACATCACCGCCTAGGCAAATTCATTCCTCCAAAAGATGCGCCCGCCCTCAGCCCCGTGTTCCAGCCCTGCGTGACCGAGTTCTTGACAATCAAGGCCGCCGCCGCCGTCGCAGCCTGGCGCTCCTTCTGCCTGTGGCGCTCCTTGAGGTAATGCGCGGCCTCAGGGCGCATGCGCAGGATGCGCAGAATCATGTCGTCGCTGGGGTCGGCTTGCGTCTCGCGGCGCTTTGCCTCCTTGGCCTGGCGCATAGTGCCCAGATTGCGGCTCATCATGATACTCTTGCCGCGGCGGATCGTGCCCATGCTTGCAAAGGCGCCTGCGCCGCCAAGCGCGGCCCCAAAGCCTGGCGGCGCGGAGTGTCGCATCGCCTGCTGGTTGCTCAGGAGCGCCTGCTGCGCACGCTGCGCCGTGGCAGAGGCCATACGCTCCGACTCCCGGATGAGGCTGTTCGTGTCTTCAAAGTAAAAGAAGTTGAGTGACGCCAGCTCGTGCCACTTAGGCGACTTGAGAACCTCGGCGGGAACTCCAAGCTGCTCGCCAGAGTCCTGTTCTTTGGCATTGAAGAAGACAAATAAGAGCTCGAGCCATTGGTAGACAATGTCCAGTTCTTTTCGGCTGAGAGCTTTCTGTGTTGATGGCTTGTCGGAGACGGGTGGGACAAGCAGGTTCTCAATCGTCAAGAGAACTTCTTTCCACAGACGTGTCATAACTGCAATCATTGTTGCATCAGTTAGCGTCTGCTTCATGATGGTAAAGTTATCGTTAAAATAGTCAAATAGCGGCTTTAGGGCATTCTCAATGTGTGCCGGCGTCACTACTGGAAGAGTAGATGTACGTTTCTTCCACAAGTTGGTCACCTGCGAACCAAGGCCATTCAATCCTAGGATGCCCCGTAGTGTTTCGACGGACAGCGTCGAGTTGATTTGACTTGTAAGCTTTTCTTCGGTTAATAACTGGTCATTTGCAGAGGCCTTGGTACCACATACCTTGTCGGTAATCTTGCGCACCATGTCTCGCTCTGCTCTTTTAAGGTGACGGAAAGCCTTGCCAAAGTGAAACTGAATATCGTCGCGCTCGCCTTCCATGCTAACCCGAATAAGCACTCGACCCTGGGTGTCCAAGTCGAGCCAGAATTCGCGAGGAAGATAATCACCAAAATGAACAGGGTCGATCTTCAACGAAGTTCGGCCAGCACAATCGTGGTTTCCAAACGTATCGTAATCCCAGACAGTTGCGATCAGGTTCACCGGACCTTGCACAGTAAACTCAAAAGACTCGTCCCATCGCGGGTTAAGGTTCTTGTAGATGATGCGGGTTTTATACAGACGCTTGTTGACTTCGTCTCCAAAGACGACATAAGGGTCGCTGTAGCCACTGGGATCGCAAGCCTTGAGATCTTCTGCTTCAACAACCTTAATGGTGAATGTGTACTTGCTTGGCTTTCGTGTCTGCTTTCTAGGGCCATCAATCTTTTCCAGCAATTCAGCACAAGCATCCGAGTGCATGCTCTTTTCCAACTTGTCAAGTTCTTGCATTGCAAACTCAATATTGTTAAGCTTGACAAAGGACTCGGCGAAGAACTGAAATGGCTCTGCCTTTTCTTTGTTATTCCAGGCATCTTTGGCGTACTGCATCCATTTTTCTTGGGTTGACTTGGTCTGCATTGCAAGCTCCTCGGCTGACGGGCGATCCATTTCTTTGGAGAACTGCAGCTCAAGAACCTCGCAGTAGCGGCCGAGGCCTGCCGAGAAGCTGCGTGCAAGGGCTGTCATAAACCGGGCGTTGTGTTCGTCATTGTCCCACTTCAACTGGAAGACCTGGTCCACTGTCTGATTGAACAGCATGAATATGTCAATAACAGACACGCTATGTCTCTCTGAGTCGCGAGGGCTGTGATCACCATGTTGAATGCGGACCTGGAACTGGTCTTGTTTGATCGCCTCGTCGACATAGTTGGTCATCTTCGCTTCAGCAGAGCGAACCCATCGCCAGACGAAGTCGACAAGCAAATTTTCAATGTTGAAAGCGAAAGGTTTGTGGGGGAGATGTTTTTGGTGAATGTCTCGTATAGCAACCAGCTCCTTGTAGAGCTCAAACCCATCTTCGATATCGATGTCTTCACCACTGGCTTGTGCTTGTCCAAGAATCGTTTCGAGAATCGCCCCGGCATCGCACTCAAAATTGGGGAAGACTTCTTCTACTAAGATTGCAAAAGGATCCACGCCCATGATGGTTAGATTGTTTTTGTAACGCTTTCTGATGCGGTCACAAAGCTTTGTGATGGTCTTGCCAAGCTTCACGACATGGGCAAACTCCCACTTCTCCTTAATGACTGGAATCTCCTTGCGCATACTTTCGCGGTATACCTCAACTGCTTTGTTTCGCAAAGCAGTGATAAGAGATTCTGTAAACTCGGCAACTGCTTCTGGTCTCGGTGTGAAGATCTCGTCTTGGTAGAGGTGATTCTCAAGTATGAACATTACAGCGCCAATATTAGGAGGTGTGCTGTCGTAGCACTGCGCCATTATGCGGTAAAGTTCTCGCAAGGTGGCGTCGTGAATGGAATGGAAAGTGCTTTGATAAACGGCAAAATCGTGGATTGTCCACTTGCTAGACGGTATCTTGGTCAGAGGCAATGAGTAATTCTGGATATGAGGCGCCTTCTTGGGTTCTGGCTGGGGATCTTTGACGAAATCCAGAATGGTATCAAGCTCTTTGGGGACAAGCTCCTGATCCAGAAACTTGCGCGCCGCAACCTCGAGCAAAACAATCAGTCGCGAAGCCTGCGGTAATCGCCACCGTACACAAAGCTCCGTCATAAGGTCCATGGTTTGCTTCGAGAGTGGTTGATAGTCGACGTCAGGGGGAGCACGCAGTTGATCAAAGGCCATGGCATGCTGAAGAATATACTTATAAAAGGCGCGCGGATCGGATGGAATAAAGGTGTACAAGTCGCCTTGGTCGACAGTCCGGATACTGTTTGCATCGCTAGAGATGCTGGATATAGAAGCCAAGGGATCAAATCCCAGAGATGTGTCTACCGAAGAGATGGCACGGCTGAGGTCCGCATAGGCTTGATCTTCGACGTACATTGATTGTGGGCGACTGGTCAGGGGCTTATCGGCAGAGGACGATTTTGCTAGTTCGGGCTTGGCGGTCAAGATCTCGAGCATCATCTGGGAAAGAAAGTGCGCTTCAGATTTTTGCCACTCGATGAATGATTCCTCGACGTCAAAGTCATTGCTACGGAGCGCACCAGAGCCGTTGGAGTTCAGACGTTGCTGGTACGTCTTGAGATCTTTGAGAGCTGCTTCCTCGTTCCAAGTACTACGCTTCTCGTTGATTTCGGCTTGAACCTCTGAGAGGCTGAGCCCAAATATGGCAGCGACAATTTGAACCATTGGCATGTCCTTGACGTCATAGCTCAGAGGGACAACAACTTCAATGGTGGTACCTGCAGAATCTGAGCCGGAGCTGACGAGATCCTGGTCATTTGTGAGGAGCTTGTTTTCCAGTGTGGTCAGCCTGGAGAGCAATTCGGACTTGTCGCGTTCGTGGCCCTGGTCTCGGAGGATGGTGGCAGCGAGGCGGACAAACAACGCCAGATGACGATCTGGCAACAGCTTCCAGGAATCATCGTCGGGGGCGCGACCTCTTTGTGCAGCCTTGGTGGCGGACGAGTAGAATATGAGGACCAAGGGTTCAAATTTGCGTTCCTTTTCAATGGTTTTGCGAAAATTCTTTTCAGAGAAGGCGGTATAGGCCTCTGCGAAACAGCGCTTGACGGCAGCATCGTTGAAGCCGAGCAAGCGCTCGGAACCTTTCAAGACGCCGCCAACGCGATCCAGAAGAATGTTGGAGAAGTTGCTAGGAAGCTTGAGGCCGTAGGCGCTGCCAGACACGTATTCCTGTACGAGCTGGCCAACGCTCGTGTGCGTGCGGGCCGGGGGCTTGGGGGGGGCAACATATTGCTTGCGCTTCGCTTTCGGCTGGAGGAGGTAATGGAGGTAGGCGGTTCGGAGGGCAAAGCTGCGGGCTTCATCGTGCTCAACGAGTACAATGTTGGACTTTGACTTGGCTTGAATGCGGCGGCTAGAGTCCTTGCTGCTGTTCTTGAGGCGCCGACCGACCGACGACCTACGAAAGTCCTGTGACATGGCGGGACACTCAACAAGCAAGTCGGCGCCTAGACTGGTGTTTGCGGTGGCTCATGACCCGGTGAAGGGATACGTGTGAAGCGGTAACTATTGGTCGGGTGGCGAGCGGTAGTGAGGGGAGGGTGGTGGCAGTAGGCAGGTAGATGGATGATGTCGCGCGATGGTGCGAGAGAGAGAGATTCAACGTGATTAGACAGAGATGGAATAACGAGCGGAGGAGAAAATGGAACTGGCGTTGAAGCTGATGAATAATGCGAGAATAGTTGCGAGCGGCAGATGCAATGCTGGATGTGCAAAGCAACTTGGAGCCCGAGAGCAGACGTGTACAAAGTAGGTAGAAAAAAAGGCAGCCCAAACGAGGAGG